CGTCCACCTGCCAGGAGGCGTGGGTGCAGGCGTCGGAGCAGACGGACATGGTGGAGGCGGCCATGGCGGCGGGGCTGGGAGGAGCGGGAGGTGTGGGTGAGTGTGAGTGAATGTGTGTGAGTGTGTTTGAGGTGCTCTGGGCTCCTGGGCTTTTATCCCCCTCCTGTGCGTGCTGTCCTGGCCACAGCTTCCCCTTCCTGGTGTGTCAGCTCCTGGCTGCGTTGCCGTGTTTGTTTGCTGAGATGCTGTGCAGCTTGTTTTCCGCCAGTAGGTGTCTGTGCCCGGGGCAGGAGCAACAGCTTGCCAGTGCGGATGGGCTGCCTGCCATCGCTCTCTCTGCCGTTCACCTCTCTACCTGTCATCTCTCCGACGGCCTGTGCTCTGTCTGACCCTGTGTCCGACTGTCATCTGTGTGCCTGGAGCATGGTGCTTTGTCCCCATGGTGGTCCTTGTCTTGGTCACCGTGAGGCAGCTCAGTCGCTGTCCCTCCCTGGGCCCCCATCCCGCCACCCATGTCCCTCCCCCGGCCATCAGCCCACACCCTGTGTCTCTCCCTGGGGCCGCCCCCCGCATCCCTCCCTGGGCCCTCAGCCTGCCCCCCGTGTCCCTCCCTCGGCCCTCAGCCCGCCCCCCGTGTCCCTCCCCGGGCCAGCAGCCCCCCCATTTCCCTAATAGAAAAACCCAGAACACATGAATCAAAATGGGTGGAACTGAAGAAGACATAGCCAATCCCGTTCTAAACCACAGCTGGGCTCCATCAAGCACGCTCATCCCAAAGGAGGAAAGGATGGGGCCGGATCAAGCGGGGAGCCAAAGAGCACCCCAACGCCCGTCAGACACGCAGCTCTGCCCAGCCACAGCCCACAGCACGGCAAGCGAGGCCACAAAACTGGTCTCCTTCACCCTGTGTGACTGAAAGTGAATCAAGTATCTTGTCTGACCACAGAAGGAAATCAAAAGCAAAAGGAAGACCAGAATCCATACATATGGGCCAATAACACATTGAACAAAAGAAGCCTGGAGGAAGTTAGGAGGGGCTTTGTGATGAAGAAGAAGACAACAAGGCAGGAGGGGACAGGAGACACAGCTAGGGCCACTCAGAAAAAGTCTAGGCAGAAAAAGAAGCCAGAGCCGGGTGCTGGTGGCTCAGGCCTGTCAGCCTGGCTACTCAGGAGGCTGAGATCTGAGGATGGCAGTTCAAAGCCATTCCATGTAGGAAGGTCCCTGAGACTCTTACCTCCAATAAACCATCAGAAAACCAGAAGTAGGGCTGTGGCTCAAGTGCTAGAGCACACTCATCCCCTCGGCCATCAGGCTGCTCCTCCAAAACACAGAGCCATGGGCACAACGAGAGAAAAGACAGCAGACAGTGTCAGTCAAGGCCAGACACACGGACTCAGTCAGTCTCAAGGAAGAAAGAGTGCCGCTATGTCCTAAGTAACAACCAGAGGCAGGACCCTGGCAATGCCGGAGCTGGGGCACCAGGCACCAGCCTGCCCTAATTTGGAGGATCCAAGCAAAGTGGGATCTTTAGAGCCCAGGCTGGACAACCCACATTAACAGGTCACACTGCACAGGTCACACTGGACAGCCCATACTGGACAGCTCACACTGGACAGCCTACATGGCACAGACCACACTGGACGGCCCCATGCTGGACAGGTCACACTGGACAGGCCACTCTGCACAGGTCACACTGCACAGCTCACACTGGACAACCCACACTGCACAGGTCACACTGCACAACCCACACTGGACAGGCCACACTGGACAGGTCACACTGCAAAAGTCACACTGGACAACCCACACTGCACAGGTCACATTTCACAACCCACACTGGACAGGCCACACTGGACAGCTCACACTGCACAGTTCACTCTGCACAGGTCACACCGGACAACCCATACTGCACAGCCTTCACTGCACAGGTCATACTGCACAACTCAAGCTGCACAGGTCACACTGGACAGCTCACACTGCAAGCACACACTGCACTGGTCACACTGGACAGGTCACACTGGACAGCTTACATTGGACAGTTCACACTGGACAGCTCACCCTGCACAGCTCACCCTGCACAGCTCACACTGCACAGCTCACACTGGACAACCCACACTGCACAGCTCACACTGGACAACCCACACTGCACAGCTCACACTGCACAGCTCACACTGCTCAGGTCACATCGGACAGCTCACACTGGACAACCCACACTGCACAGGTCACACTGGACAGCTCACACTGCACAGGTCACACTGGACAGCACACACCACTGGTCACATTGGACAGCACACACTGCACTGGTCACACTGGACAGGTCACACTGGACAAACTACACTGCACGCTCACACTGGACAGCTCACACTGCACAGGGCACATTGGACAGGTCACACTGCAGAGCTCACATTGGACAACTCACACTGTACAGCTCACACTGGACAGGTCACACTGCACAGCTCACACTGGACAGGCCACACTGGACAACCCACACTGCACAGGTCATAATGGACAATCCAAACTGGACAGGCCACACTGGACAGGTCACAATGCACAGCTCACACTGCACAGGTCACACTGGACAACCCACATTGGACAAGTCACACTGCACTGGTCACACTGGACAGCCCACACTGGACAGCTTACACTGGACAGCCTACATGGCCCAGACCACACTCGACAGCCCCATGCTGGACAGGTCACACTGGACAACCCACACTGCACAGGTCACACTGGATAACCCACACTCCACAGGTCACACTGGACAACCCACACTGGACAGGTCACACTGCAAAATCCACACTTGACAGGCCACACTGGGCAGCTCACACTGGACAGCTCACACTGCACAGGTCACACTGGACAACCCATACTGGACAGCTCACTCTGCAAAGTCACACTGGACAACCCACACTGCAAGATCACACTGGACAACCCAGACTGCACAGCCCTCACTGGAAAGGTCACACTGGACAGCTCACACTGCACTGGTCACACTGGACAGGTCACACTGCACAGGTCACACTGGACAGGCCACACTGCAAAGGTCACATTGGACAACCTACACTGCACAGCTCACACTGCACAGGTCATATTGGACAGCTCACACTGCACAGCTTACACTGCACAGGTCACACTGCACAGCTCACACTGCACAGATCATACTGGACAACCCACACTGCACAGCTCACACTAGACAGCTCACATTGGACAGCTCATACTGGACAGCTCACACTGCACAGGTCACATTGCAAGGTCACACTGCACAGGTCACACTGGACAGCTCACACTGCACAGTGCACACTGCATAGGTCACATTGGACAGCTCACACTGGACAGGCCACACTGTACAGATCACATTGCACAGCTCACACTGCACAGGTCACATTGGACAGCTCAGACTGGACAGGTCACACTGGACAAACCACACTGCACAGCTCACACTGGACAGGCCACACTGGACAGCTCACAATGGACAGCTCACACTGCACAGGGCACATTGGACAGGTCACACTGCACAGCTCACATTGGACAACCCACACTGGACAGGCCACACTGGACAGGTCACACTGGACAACACACACTGGACAGGCCAAACTGGACAGGTCACACTGGAAAGGCCAAACTGGACAGGTCACACTGGACAGGCCACTGAACAGGTCACACTGCACAGCTCACATTGGACAACCCACACTGCACAGCTCACATTGGACAACCCACACTGCACAGGTCACACTGGACAACCCACACTGGACAGGCCACACTGCACAAGTCACATTGCAAGATCACACTGGACAAGTCACACTGGACAGGCCACACTGGACAGCTCACACTGCACAGCTCACACTGCACAGGTCATATTGGACAGCTCACACTGGACAACCCACACTGCACAGATCACACTGGACAGCTCATACTAGAGAGCTCATACTGGACAGCTCACACTGGACAGCCCTCACTGACAGGTCACACTGGACAACCCAAACTGGACAACTCACACTGCACAGCTCAATCTGCCCAGGTCATACTGGACAGCTCACACTGCACAGCTCATACTGCACAGCTCATACTGGACTGCTCACACTACACTGGTCACACTGGACAGCTCACACTGCACAGCTCACACTGCACAGGTCACACTGGACAGCTCACAATGCACAGCACACACTTCACAGCTCATATTGCACAGGTCACACAGCACAGCTCACACTGGACAGGCCATACTGCACAGCTCACACTGCACAGGTCACATTGGACAGCTCACACTGCACAGGTCACACTGCACAGCTCACACTGGACAGGTCACACGGGACAACCCACACTGCACAGCTCACATTGGAAAACCCAAACTGCACATCACACGCTGGACAGCTCACACTGCACAGCTCACACTGGACAGGCCACACTGGACAAGTCATACTGGACAGCCCACACTGGACAGGCCACACTGCACAGCCCACACCACACAGATCACACTGCACAACCCACAATGCACAGGTCACACTGCTAAACCCACACTGCACAGCTCGCACAGCACAAACCACATGGACAGGCCACACTGGACAGCTAACACTGCACAGGTCAAAATGCACAGGTCACACTGGACAGGTCACACCACACAGCTCACACTGGACAGCCCACACCGCACAGGTCACACTGCACAGCCCACACCACACAGGTCACACTGCATAGCCCACACTGGACAGCCCACACCGCACAGGTCACACAAGATGGGGGCCTTTGAGGTGATATACCAAGAAGGGAGGAGCCCTGTGGGCTTAAGGCAGCCGGCCAAGGGAGTTAGTGAGTATTATAGAATACCGACATAATGCGCTATTGGACATAGACGTGGTAGGGCATTGAATAGGAATATATTGGATGCACTGTGCTGTGAAATCATATGAAATGTGAAGCCGTAACTTAGGAGTTAGAAGTTGGAATTATGGAAGAGTTTGATAAGGACACACCCAGGGGGCTGTAGGCCGTCACCCAGGCCACCAGCCCAGCACGCTAACCAGACCCAGCCAGGAGCGGCTACGCTCCACCTTCATCCACTGCCAGATGGGACCAGAGGCGAAGCTGCCACCAAGGCACCCAGCTCAAACGTATAGACACCCGGGGCAGCAGAGACCCAGCGGCCCCACGTGGGGCCGGCCCTCTGCTGGAGCCTGACCTGCAGTCCAGCTGCGTCTCCCTTCAGCGACTGGGCACAGCCCGGAGACACCCTCAGTGGAGGCTGGACCCCAGGCCAAGAGATACCTGGTGAGCTCCCCTAGGTGTGGGCACGATTAGTAGCATCAGGCCTAGGAGTTAGTTATTGGTATGGATGGCATTTGAAGTGTTTGAACACACGAAGTAAAACATTAAGTCTAAGTGTGATGCTATAGATAGCAAACTCAGCACCAGAGGAACCCCAAAGGGCTGGTCTGTCTCGGGGGTGTGTGACCACGGCGCCTGCCTGATCCTCTTTCCAGCCCAGAATGGAGGGGAAATATGTTCCTTGTCAGAGGCCCCATGGCCACAGCAGCCTGAGCTGTGGGAGGCGGGGGTGGAGCGAGCCACAGCGGTGGTGTGATTGGTGGCTAGTGGGGGCCCAGAGACAGGAAGTGGAGGGCTGGCGGGCCCAGGAACAGGAAGTCAGGGAGGCTAGCGGGGGCCAAGAAAGGAAGTGGAGGGCTGGCGGGCTCAGGAACAGGAAGTCAGGGGGGCTAGCGGGGGCCCAGAGACAGGAAGTGGAGGGCTGGCGGGCCCAGGGACAGGAAGATGTGTCGGCCTGAGGCTGGGTGACATCGTGTCCATTACCAAGGCAAACACGAATCTCAAATGCAGCCCTTAGAGGTACAGTGTGGTATGTCTTAATTTAATAGCAAGATAAGGTTCTAAGCCTTCCGTGCTGTTGCACGGCGGCCGTGCGCACGTATCCGTGTGGAGTAGTGACATGATGTAGTATGCCATGCTGGGTTGGAGCTGAGGACCTCACGCTCGCTCCACCCTTTGGGTCTCACTATTTTTCAGGCAGGGTTTTGTATTTTTGCCCTCGGAGTCTGGACCACGGTCCTCCTACTTATCTCTCCCAGGTATCTGGGATTACAGAAATGTTCATCATGCCTGGCTTATAAATTGAGATCGGGGTCTGCAACCTTTAGGCCCAGGTCAGCCTTAAACTGGGATCCTGACAATCTCCTCCTTCCAAAGAGCCAGCCATATAGGATTCAGCCACCAGGCCCAGCTTGAAATGAAAACATCTTAAGATACATAAGCCTATTAGCCTGTTTTCCATTACTGTACCAAAATACCTGGGGCCGGGTCTTTATTAAGAAAAGAGGTTCATTTGGCTCATGGTGTGGGGAGAAAGAAAGTCCAGCAGCATGGAGTCCATCTGCCAAAGTCCCTGTCCACTGCATCATACCACGTCTGCCCCACAGAATGTGGCAGAATGTGTGAAAAGGCCACATGGGAGACCAGAAGGCCCAGGGCCGAGCGGGGTCCTCAGGCCTCAGACCAGACCCTGGACGGAGAGCGCTGTAGCTGCGCTTCCTGCGGTGCCCACGCTTCTGCCCAGAGCAGACGTAAAACTGGGGAGGAGGGTGGCGACAAGGTGCCCGTGCCTACAGGGGTCCCCGGCTGTCCTGGTCTGCTGGCACTGCCAGAGAGACACAGAGACACCCACACACAGCCAAGGCCTCAGCGGCCAGCACAGAAGAGCTAGAGCCAAGGCAGGAAGCTGGAAACGCTCGGGACATTTCTAATGAATCTGCCGCCAAGGTATCATTGCAGGGTGTCCAACCCTGGTGGCGTGCCAGCCCCAAACCCAAGTGCAGATCTCGCCGCGTGTGCTGTGTGGTGAGGTCTGGGCGGGTTGGCAAATGAGCCGCATCCCCAGCCACACTGCAACACGGAAAGCAAAGTAGGGACATGGGGCGAGGACTTGTGGGTGGGACCCCTCCCGGCCTCTTGGGCAGCCAGGCCCACAGCCCTCCACGCTGGCCTCGGTCCAGAGTGAGGGAATGAGGAACATGGGCGGGAGGCTAGTGCCGACACACGGAGTGTCCCCCTCTCTCCCACGCTTGCGCCCGGGCTGAGGGCCCCGTTCTGTCCTCACTGAGCCACGCCAAGGCCACCAGTCCTGAGGGCGCTGGCCGGCCCTGCCAAGTTAGGCTTGGTGTGGAGCAGCTTGCAGGAGGAAGGGGACAGAAGAAAAGCCCAAGAGCCGCGGCCTGAGCAGAAGGGACCAGGCACTGCACCCGACGGTGAGACCAGCACACAGCTCAGCAGCAGGAGTGCCCTCCGGGTGAGACGTGAGGTTTTATTAGCAGAGGGTCAGTTCCACAGGCGGCGCACTGGGCGGGGTGGGGAGCGAGGGAGGGGAGAGCAGACTGGGCTGTGGCCAGCACCGCCAACGCCATCCACCTGGCCAGGGCAATGGAGGCACTGCCAAGGCTGGAGAGGGCAGGAGGGTGGGGGCCTGGGCGGGCAGCCCTCTGGCCCTGAGCAGGTTCGCACCACGGCAGGTCTCCCTACCCTGGAGGCTGGGCGGGTGATCGACAGGAGCTGGGCAGGGGGAGGGCTCCACGGGCCCCGTCCCAGGTACAGTCAGCCTGGATTTCCCGCCAGTGTTCCAAATTGGCTTGCACTGTGCCACGCCCCGCCTTTCCAGGCCCAGTCACACACCCGCAATTCCTCTCTGTCTGCACAGGGCAAAGATGAGCTTTGAGGGGTGAGAGGTTGATGTTATCTGACAACAGGCCAGCCTGCACAGGACAGCTGGCTTGCTGCTGCCAGGTTGGAGGGTGGGTGCAGTACCACCAGGCCTAGAGGGCACAGGAAGCTGCCCAGGGGCTAGCCAGGCCGGGGACTGGGACAGCCTGTGGGAGTGTGGGGCGAAACAGACCTCAAAGAGCTCAGAGCGGCAAGGATTCTAGAAAAACCACTCTGCAGTGTGGGGCGCATGCACCGCACCCATCAGCAGCTGCACTGGCCCGGGGAGCCGCCACAGCAGGCCTGGCGGGAGCAGGCAGGGCGGCACAGCAGGGACACGCACGAGGCCGCGCCTGCACAGCAGGGACACGCTGGAGGATGGCGGGCAGGGCGGGCAGGGGCGGCAGCAGGGCTGGCAGCTGGACGGCTGGCAGCAGCAGGAGGAAGCCCCGCAGCACACGGGCTCACAGCACACGGGTCTGCAGCACACGGGTGTGCAGCACACGGGCTCACAGCACACGGGTCTGCAGCACATGGGTGTGCAGCACACGGTGTGAAGCACACGGGCTCACAGCACATGGGCTCACAGCACACAGTCTTACAGCAGACGGGCTTGCAGCAGACGGGCATGCAGCAGGACGGCTGGCAGGCTGAGCAGGGGCAGCAGCAGGACGGCTGGCAGCTAGACGGCTGGCAGCAGGAGGGTGTGCAGCAGCTGGCGCAGACGGACTGGCAGCAGGGGCTGGACGCACAGCCCGCTGGGGAGCAGAGGAAGGTGAGGCAGGGGGCGGGGGCGCAGCCGCGGGGCTGGCAGCAGCTGGGGGCGCCGCAGGGCTCGCAGCAGCTCTCTGGGCAGTCGTCCACCTGCCAGGAGGCGTGGGTGCAGGGTCGGAGCAGACGGACATGGTGGAGGCGGCCATGGCGGCGGGGCTGGGAGGAGCGGGAGGTGTGAGTAGTGTGAGTGAGTGTGAGTGAGTGTGAGGTGCTTGGGCCCCTGGGCTTTTATACAGGCCAGGTGTTTTCAGCCGGGCACTGTGGGTGTCGGCCCTTCCTTGTTGGTGGCCCTTCCTTGTTGATGGCCCTTCCTTGTTGGTGGCCCTTCCTTGTTGGTGACCCTTCCTTGTTGCTGTTTTGCGCTGGCTTCTGGGTCCTCATTAACTCAGGTGTATTTACACAAGGCCCTGTTCTGCCCGCACAGCACAAACACGTACGGAGGGCAAGGGCCACGCAGACGAGCCTCTGTGCGCTGGGCCACGGCCGGTGCAGGATGACCTTGCTCTGCTACCAAGACCTGCTGGGCCGGGAGGGGAGAGGCCGGGAGTTCCTGTCCTGCGCCTGAACCACACAGAGCGGTGCGCCGCAGCCGGGGCGGACGGGCCGGGGAAGAGGCAGAAGGGCGGAGGAGCAGAGACCCCAGACATAAGTTGTGAAGCCCAGTACCGATTGCCAGAGGTGAAGATGAAGGAGAACTCCAAGGAGGAGGCGGATTCTTCTAGAGGGCAGGCTTTTCAGTGGGTATGTTGGGGGGAGCATGAGGGTCTCAGTCACACAGAGGCCCCCAGAGACATGAAAATGACAGCGCCTCTGCCATCCGAGGCCCAGCACAGAAAGAAAACCCTCCAGGCTCCAGAAAGAGATGGACGCCCAACTTTCACGTTGCAGGCTGGGGTCTGCAGTGCAAGAAGCCCCGGAAATCTACACTGTCCATGGGAAATGCTGGATTCCCTGCATCCCTGCCCCTGGTCCCCGGTCCACAGCCCACAGCCCACGGCCTGCCTAGAGCCAGGGAGGTAACAGCGTCCAGATCTCAGGGCCACAAGAGCTGTGGAGCGCACACAGCCCCCGCACAGGACACAGCCCGAGGAAGGCAACCCCAACCGCGGGGAGAGCGCGACGCGGTCGTGGCTGATGACACAGAGCCCTGCGCCTGGCCCCGCGCCCCCCACGCCACTGCGCCGCAGCTGAGAGGCTGACAGCACTCAGTCATGAACGCACCGCCACGGCCACCAGAAGCCACCTCCCCAAAGGGCCTGCGCACACACCCTCCGCACCCACACTACCGCGCTGTGTACACCGCCAGGCATCCTCCAGGCAGAGCGTGGCGTGGTCTCACAGCAGCCTGCGCGGCC